TGCTTGAACAAAAGAAAAATAAATCAAAGTGAAAATAAAGAAAAAAAATGTATATAAAAAAAAATAAAAGACCATCATTTCCCCAGTGAATTATCTTGGTACTTTTGTCAATATCAATTGATCATTCTAATGTACAACATATATAAAGAACTCATAACTTAACAACAAAAAGGCAACCCAATTTAAAAAATGAGCAAAGGCCATGAGTAGACATTTCTACAAAGATACACAAATGGCCAACAAGCTAATGAAGAAATGCTCAACATCATTAGCCCTAGGGAAATGCAAATAAAAATTACAATGTGATACTACTTCACACCCACAAGGATAGCCATAATTTTTTTAAAAAGGGAAAATAAGAAGTGTTAGAGAGGATGTGGAAAAATTTGAACCATAAACATTACTGGTGGGAATGTAAAATGGTATAACCTCTAGCTAAAACAATTTGGTGGTTCCTCAATAAAGTACACATAAAATTACCATGTGATCCAGTAATTCCACTCCTAGATATAGACACTCCAAATTGAAATCAGATGTTTAAACAAAACTTACACAGGAATGTTGATAGTAGCAATATTCAGAATAGTCAAAAGGTGGAAACAATATAAATGTCCATGAGCATATGAACCGATAAACAAATGTGGTACCCATACAGCAGAGTATTAAGCCATAAAAAGAAACAAAGTACTAGTACATGCAACAATGTGGAAGAACCTCCAAAACATTATGCTAAGTTTAAGAAACCAGACATAAAAGGATCACACATCATATGATCCCATTGTTATAAAATATCCAGAATAGGCATTTATATAGAGATGGAAAGCACATTTGCGGGTGTCAAAGGCTAGAGTAGGGAGGAATGGGGAGGACCACATAATGAGTGTGGCGTTTCCTTTTGAGGAGATGAAAATGTTCTGGAACTAGATGGTGGTGATGGTTGCACAACATTGTGAATGTATTGCCAATGAATTATATATTTTAACATGATAAATTTTATGTTATATGTATTTTACCACAATAAAAATCAATCGATCATAAATGTAAGGATTTATTCATAGTCTCTGAATCTATTCCATTGATCTATACACTTACCTTTGCACCAATACCATACTGTCTTAGTTATTGTGGCTTTGTAAGTTTTGAAAAAGGTATGGTAAGTACTACAACTTTTTCTTTTCCAAAATATTTTGACTATTTAAGGTAATACACATTTCCACCTGTATTTTAAGATCAGTTTTTCAATTTTTACAGGAAAGTCAGCTGAGATTTTGATAGGTTTTGTGTTCATTCTACAGATAAATTTGGGGACGATTGCCATCTTGACAATATTGAGTCTTCCAATGTGAAAAATATATGTATTTATTTAGCGTTTCTTTAAATATTCCCAGAAATGTTTTGTAATTTTTTATGCAGGTCTCATACATATTTTGTCAGATTTATTCTTAAGTGTTTTATTCTTTTAAAGGATATTTTCAATCAACTAATTTTATTAATTTTATTTTTGGAATCTTTGTTCCTAGTGTATAGAAATACAATTGATACTTTAAAGTTGATCTCTCCTGTGGCATTGCTAAATTTGTTTTTGGGTCTAGCAGCTTGTGTGTGTGTGTGTGTGTGTGTGCGCACATTTCTTGAGATTGTCTCCATGTAGGCTCATCTGTGAATAAAGAGAGTTTAGTTTATTCCCTTCTGATCAGGATGGTTTTATGTTGGAAGGGAGGGAGGCTTATTCCACCAGCTGGAACCTCTAGTCCAATGTTGATTACAGATGGACATCCTGCATTATCCCCAATATTAGGGAAAATGTTGATTCTTTCAAAATTAAGTATTATGCACACTGAGTTTTTGAGGACACTATTTCTCAGTTGAATAAGCTTCTATCTATTCCAAATTTGTTAAAAGTTTCTTTGCTCATGAATGGGTGTTGGACTTTGTCAAATCCATTTTTTTAATCTATTGTGATGATCAAGCTTTACTCCTTTGTTCTATTAATATAAATTATAAGATTAAGTAGTTTTCAGATGTTAAACCAAGTTTGCACTCCTCGGATAAATGCCACTTGGTCACAGTATATATCTCTAGGGTGTCTGGACCAGGCCTGGTCTCCTTACTTTCCATTCAGAGGATGTGATCCATGAGGCAGAAAAAGAGAATCGTAGTGATGGGGGTGTGTAGCCTCCAGCTTCTTCTAGGGCTGCAGCCCTGATCAAAAAGCCACACCTTCCATGCCAGGCTGCCATCCTCTGGGGGTTCCCACAGAGGAACCCCTCAACCCCCTGAAGCATACATAGGGCAGAGACCTGAGCCCATTTCCCTGTGGCCACCATATTGGCGCCCTCATCAATGATGGGAGGAGCCAGGACATCCAGGCCCATCTCCTCTCAGTGGCCACAGGAGTCCACCCATTGCACATCCATTGGCTGGACAGCAGTGAGGCAGGCCCTGCACTTGGGGTCCACAGGGACTTGAACATGCGGCCCGTGTCACCTCCTAAGGTGGCAGCAGGGTCGCATGGAGCCACAGAGGCTGAGGAATGACAGCAGGAAGCCCAGACCCTGAGAGGTCGCTGTGACCAGAAGGCATCATGAGCAGCAGGTGCCCAGGCTGTGGTGACCACGCTCAGGCCTCTGACCAGGGCGGTGGCCGTCTTCTGGAGGAAGGTGAACCCCACGGAGGGGGAAGTATCTCAGGCAACCGGAGCTCCCTCCAGGTACCCTCTTGGACGCCTTGTCCCCCACACAGGACCCTCCCCAGGGGCACTCCTCCACCCCTGCTCCAGGCAGCAGAGGCAGCAACATCTTGTGTGCATGGGGGGAGCTCCCCGAGTCACTGAGAGTGGGGCCTGCACCCACCCAAGCCCCAAACTCTCCATTTGTCCCAAGTGGGGAAAGTGGTAGCAGAGAATTTTCATGGCAGCTGGGGCATATTTCCTTTCCACATTTCCTGCCCTAATTTGAGGGTGAATCTGATTTTGTTTCACAAACCTGCATGTATTTGAAGCCAAGTGAATGAATCCTGTATCTGTCCCCAGTAGGAGGGTACGGGCCACATTTAACTTGCTCACCTTTGTATCCTGAAAGCCTGCTCCAGAGTCTGGCACTGAGTGGATGACTCAGGGGACACTGAGAAGGCATCATTTTGTTGGTGGGAATCCCTTAAACTGAGGTTTGCTCAGGAGAATGGCGTCCCTGCTCTGACTGCATTCATTCTATCGTGTGCTGAGTACTAGCCTGTGCCCGTGGTGGGGAGTGGGGAGTGAGCACTGACTTCACCCCAGGCCACAGGCAGGCTGGCCTCAGCACTGGGAGGACTCCCATGCCCCTGGGTCTAGATTCTAAAAGTAGAACCACCGTACGATCCAGCAGTCCCACAACTCAGTGTATATTTAAATGAAATGAAATCAGGATATTGAAAAGATATCTGCACTCCCATGTTTATTGCAGCATTATTCACAAGAGCCAAGACATGGAAGCAAACTTATACCACTGGTACCCATCACTGGATGAGTGGACAAAGACACACACACGCACATGCACACGCACACAGACACACACAGAGGAATATTATTCAGCCATGAAAGAGAAGGAAACCCTTCCACTTGTGACAACATGGATGGACCTTGAGAGTGTTATGCTAAGTGAGATAAGAAAAACAGAGAAAGGCAAATACAGTGTGATCTCACATTATGTGGAACCTAAAAAAGCCAAACTCATAAAAACAGAGAGTAGAATGACAGTTAGCAGGGGCTGGGCGGTGGAGGAACTGGGGAGAGGTTATTGAAGGATATCAACTTGCAACCGGTGGACGAATAGGTTCCGGAGAGGCCTAATGCAGAGCGCAGTGACGACAGTCAACAATTCTGCATTATAAACTTCCAAGCTGCTAAGAGACTAGATCTTAATTGTTCTCACCACAAAAAGGAAATGATAATTATGAGATATGACAGAGGTGTTAGCTAACACTATGGTGGTAATCAGTGTGCAATATATAAATATATAAAACCAAGATATGTACACCTTAAACGTATATAATTTATATGTTAATTATACCTCAATATAAAATTACCCCCTGCAGTTGAAAAGAGAAGTACAAATAGCCAATGGACACA